TTATTGTATTAGATGAGGTCTCACCAAGTTGTCCAGGTGGGTCTCGAACCCACGGGCTCAGGCAATTCACTCACCTCAGCCTCCCAAGGCACGGGATTACAGGCTGAGCCACCGAGCCCAGCTTGGATATACATTTTAAGCGATGTTATCTATGTATCACTTTTAGTTTGCTGTCATCAGAAGTGTCTGGATGCTGATGGGAATCACTTTGAGCACCTCTTGTAATTGCAGAAGTCAAACATGACTTGTATTAATCTTTTGTTATCGGTATATATTGCATATTACAATTTTAATACAGTTTTTTTCCTTTATTAAATTTTGTATACATTTTTTTGGCACCCTCTGTATATTTGTAGAGATGGGATGTCACCATGTTGTCCAGGTTGGTCTCAAACTCCTGGCCTCAAGCAGTCCTCCCACTTCACCCTCCCAAAATGCTGGGGTTATAGGCATAAACCACTGTGCCTGGTCCTGATTGAATATTTTTAAAAATTAATTAATTAATTTATTTTTGAGTTGGGTCTCACTCTACCCAGGCTAGAGTGCAGTGGCATGATCACAACTCACTGTAGCCTTGAACTTTTAGGGGTCAAGCAATCCTCCCTCCTCAGCCTCCTGAGTAGTGGGACTACAGGTATGCATCACCACACATGGCTAATTTTTTTTATTTTTTATTTTTTATTGCTAGAGTGAAGGTCTTGCTATATTACCCAGGCAGGTCTCGAACTCCCAGGCTCAAGCAATCCTTGACCTCCCAAAGTGCTGGGATGACAGGTGTTGGCCACCATGCCCAGCCTGAATTTTTTTTTTTTTTTGAGTTGGAGTCTCACTCTGTCGCCCAGACTAGAGTGCAGTGGCCGCTCCCGGCTGACGCAGCCTTGACCTGCTGGGCTCCTGCGATCCTTCCACCTCAGCCTTCCAAGGAGCTGGAACTACAGGCATGCGCTACCACGCCTGGCTAATTTTTTTGATTTATTGTAGAGATGAGGTCTCGCCAAGTTGCCCAGGCGGGTCTCGAACCCGCGGGCTCAGGCAATCCACCTCAGCCTCCCAAAGGCGTGGGATTACAGGATGAGCCACCGAGCCCGGCTACTGAATTTTTAAAATATAAATGTTTTCTCTATTATAAATAAAAAACTGGCAGGAAGGAAAAGGAAATTTCAGAAAACAAAAAGTAAATAAACCCACAGAAAGGCAGGAAGCTAAGTGGGGAGTGAGTTTCAGGACAAGCCACGAGATCTATGGCTTATTCTAGCAACAGACCCTTATGGCTTTTGAACAATTTCATTGCAGTCTCAGCCATGAGTCCAGGGTCCTTAACCCTAACTGCATATGTTTAATGCCACTGACAGGCCTACAGCTCACATGGTGAAGAAAAAGGCAAGAGGCAGAATAAAAGGGGGAAGAAGCTGGGGTGGGAGGAGGAGGTCATGGTAGGGCCCATGAGAGAGGATCCATTCCCTGGTGGCAGGGAACTCTCTAGACCATAACTAACTAACAATTTCCTCTTGCAACTCTGTTCGTGGCCCAGGTGAGGTTTAAACAGACTCACTCATGATGGCTTTTTGGTGGCGTGTCTTTGTTATTTTGCCTTTGCAGCTGCTTTTGGAGGAGGTCATGCATTCAAGCACTCTGAGCCAAGAGGTGAGCGATTTGGTGGAGATGATTTGGGCAGAAGCCCTGGGCCACCTGGAGCACACACTTCTCAAGCCGGTGAACAGGATTAGCCTCAATGATGTAAGTCAATGTGTCACTGCAACGGACATAACAAACCTGCTGCCTGGTTTATTAGCTTAAATAATAACACTTAGGTTTGTGTGCTGTTCTGGAATTCATTCCTGACTGGTCTTCCCTCCTGCCCTGAAGAAAGGGAACATTAAGAGCACTAAGGAAAATATAAGCTTCTGAGAAAACTAGATATCCATGTCTGTAAAATGTCAGCCCCAGCCGGGCTCGGTGGCTCAGCCTGTAATCCCGCGCTTTTGGGAGGCTGAGGTGAGTGGATTGCCTGAGCCCGTGGGTTCGAGACCCGCCTGGGCAGCGAGACCTCATCTCTACAATAAATCAAAAAATCAGCTGGGCGTGATAGTGCATGCCTGTAATTCCAGCTCCTTGGAAGGCTGAGGCGGAAGGATCGCCGGAGCCCAGCAGGTCGAGGCTGCGGTGGCCGGGAGCGGCCACTGCACTCCAGTCTGGGCGACAGAGTGAGACTCCAACTCAAAAAAAAAAAAAAAAATGTCAGCCCCAAGAGCTGATCACAGGCAGGTTTCAGGGCAGACTCATTAGGAGGCCTGATCCTCTGGGCTAGAGGTCGGCAGGATGGTCTTGGTCCCCAGTGAGAAGCCCAGACCCTAACTCATTTCACAGTAACGTCACAGTCTTGTGCCTTGAGGCTGTCTTAGGAAGAGCAGGTGTGCTTCCAGCCCACAAGAAAATGCTCTCCTCTTCTTGATTCTGTGTAATTGCAATTGAAAAGGCAAATGAAAGAAGATATTGACTGGGCGTGGTGGTTCACGCCTGTCCCAGCACTTTGGGAGGTGGAGGTGAGAGGATTGCCTGAGTCCAGGGTCTGAGACCAGCCTGGACAACTTGGCGAGACCTCATCTTTACAGTAAATAAAAAAATTAGCCAGGCGTGGTGGTGCATGCCTATAGTTCAAGCTACTTAGAAGGCTGAGTCCGAAGGGTCACCTGAACCCAACAGGTTGAGGCTGCGGTGGTCATGAGTGTGCCACTGCACTGCAGCCTGGGCGACTCTGAAAGGGACTTTGAGTGAAACTCTGAATAGGCAGGAAGGGAGGGAGGGAGGAAGGAAGGAAGATATCCCCAACAGTACAACTTATGCGACTGCCTTGTCCTATTAAAGTGATACAGACAATTTTCCTCTATAGAATTAAATGAATTTATCTCAGAGAGAAAATGGTTCCTGGGGTAAAATCCATAAAATACTTGTGTAATTAGAAACACATTCAGCAGCTGGGTGTGGTGATTTACACCTATAATCCCAGCACTTTGGGAGGTGGAGGTGAGAGGATTGCCTGAGCCCACAGGTTCAAGACCAGCCTGGGCAACTTGGCGAGATCTTATCTCTACAATAAATCAAGAAAAATTAGCCAGACATGGTAGCACATGCCTGTAGTCCCAGCTACTTGGAAGGCTGAGACGGAAGGATCACCTGAGCCCAGCAGGTTGAGGCTGCTGTGGCTGTGAGCGTGCCCATGCACTCCAGCCTGGGCAACACAGTGAGACTCTGACTCAAAAAACTAAAAATAAAAAAACAGAAATACATTCAGGTTTTGGCTTCTGGTTTGATTCTGACGCCTTTCTTAGTCTCTCATGTGAAAAGCAAGTCCCTGCATTTGCCTTGGTGTTCCCCTCTCTGTGTATATATGCATGTGTGTGTTCTCATCTGAATAGAAATGCAAAATTCTGGTTCTTTCTTCTAGTTAAACTGAGCCCAGTTTTGGAAGAATCCTTATGGCATCGATCACCACAACTGGTATATGTCTCCAACACAGATCAACATTTGCTTTCTGGCAGCTGTCCAGCAGAAAACTGCTAGTTGTGACATGTTCAACAATTATTTTAGGTGTTTCTATACACACTCCTTCACTTCCTGTATGAATATCAGGATTTCATTTTACTGAGCATATACGATCTTCTGTTTAAAGGTAAGCAAGGCCGAGGGCATCCTCCTTCTCGTAAAGGCAGCACTGAAAAATGGAGAAGCAGCAGAGCAATTGCAGAAGATGATGACCGAGTTCTACAGATTGATACCTCACAAAGGTCTAGCACCTGAAGAAGTAGACCTGGGACTGTTAGCCAAGAAAGAGGACCTCTGCCAGGTGAGCTTCATAAATGTAGAACTCAACTTAAAACAATGTTAGGGATGTCTTTAAACATCTGAAGACTACAGTAACACTGAATCACAAAATTGTCTCCAGAGTTGTGCTCAAAAGAAAATTGCTGAGCCATTCCAACATGCTCTGGTCCTTACAGAAGTTACTTAATGTGAATGTGTCAACATGATGCTAATATGCAGATCTATGTTTAGAATCGCTACATTTTAAAATAATTTTTCAGACCCTGGGATGAGTTAGAATTCTCTCTGCAGAATAGACAGAAAACTGTAACTGACTTAAGTAACAAGGACGTTTATGGCCCTGTCATATAAGAATTCCAGCTGTGGGCTGCCTGCTGGTCCAGGTCACCCCGTGACTCAGTTTACCAGTGTCACCATCAGGGTCCTAGGCTCTTCTCATCCATCTGTGCTTCCTGTAAAGTGACATCTCTGCTGTCTCCAGCTCCCTCACGATCAACACATGGCTACAGTAGGTCAGAGTATCCCATCTGTAATATTTATGTATGTGTCCTAGAGGAAGCCCCCAGCAGACTTGTATTAATATTTCTTTGGTCAGAATTGAATCATGTGCACAGTCCTAAACCTGTCACTGGCAAGGAGAATGAAGTTACTGTAGCTGCTCAGAAATGGGCTGTCTTGGCCAAGCACGGTGTTTCACACCTGTAATCCCAGCACTTTGGGAGGCTGAGATGAGGGAATTGTTTGAGCGCAGTAGTTCAAGACCAGCCTGGTAACATAACAAGACCCCGGCTCGACAAAAAGTTAGTCTGGCATGGTGGTAAGTGCCTGTAGTCTTAGCTACTTGGGAGCCTGAGGCGGGAGCGTCACCTGAGCTTGAGATTGAGCCTGCAGGGCTCTGTGATTGTGCCATTGCACTCCAACCTGGGCAACAGAGTAAGACCCCAACTCAAAAAAAAAAAAAGAAAGAAAGAAAAGAGAAGAAACAGGCCTTCTCCCCAGAGCTGCAAGGAAGCAGGGTTCAGGCAGCCAAGAGGAAGGCGGCCACAGCCACCACCCCTGCCCTGGATGAGGCGGAGTCACTGTGTGGTGTGAGTTGCTTCATCTGTGCACAAAGGGATTGGGACAGAGTTGGAGATCTGTAACCTAGACTTCGATATACATGTGAAATTTTGCATGTTTGGGGAAATGATAGCTTTCGACAGATTCCCAGAGGAGTCAGTAATCTAATAAGGAAAGAGCCGGTAAATGAGAAGATACAGGACTCTTCCAAATATACAATTTTATGATTTACCTAACATCAAACATAAAGAATCTCAGTCAGCAGTTCTGCTAAGAGGAACAAATGATGTCTCTCCAAATACTTTTTAATTTAAATTTATATTTTGAATAGGTAATACATCTCGTGATACTTAGATATCTCTGTTCTGCCCTGTGTCCTGCACCTCATTTCCCGCCCCCACCCCAGTAGGTAATCATTTTTATTAGTTTCTTTTAGTCTTTGCAGAGTTTCTTCATACAAATAAAAATATAAACCTCTGCTTGTATTCTTCCTATGCTTACATCCAAGAACTAGATCGTCTTTGCTGTTCTGCCTCTTGCTTTTCTCAATCTAACCTGTACACGGAGCCCTCCTCATTTGAGTGTGGCCAGGGTTTGGGTTGTTGCTGGGTTTTGCTGTGACACACAATCCACAGTGAGTAGCCTTGGATGTCTGGCATTTTGTCCTTGTGTAGGGTGTCTCTGGGATAGAGTTCCAAGAGGATAAATCATAAAGGATAAATGATCTGTCATTTTGGTAGGTCCTGTCTGATTCCCTCCTGATTCTTGAAGCAGTTCGCTCTCCCACTAGCAAAGAAGGAGAGTTTCTATCTCCCGCAGTCCTCCCAAGAGTGCGTTTGGTAAGACTTTGAGACTCTTACCAAAGTTAGAGATGAAAACGTGCCTTGGTGTTGTTGGGCTGACACCACTACAGATGAGCTGGAGCCGTCTGTTTCTTCTTTTGTGAGATGTCCGTCCATGCCCTTTGCCTTTTTTTTCTTTTGGAGTCTTGCTGTTTTTCCTCATGATTTTTAAGAGTTCTTCCTAGCTGGGCTCCGTGGCTTAGCCTGTAATCCCGCACCTTGGGAGACTGAGGTGAGTGAATTGCCTGAGCCCGCGGGTTTGAGACCCGCCTGGGCAACTTGGCGAGACCTCAT